CTCATCCAGAGATACTAAGGAAGGTAAACACACCCTCCCTGTGTTTCACATGGAAAACTATAATGAAAACAACATTTGTTCTCGATGGGTGGGTATGTGGGCAGCAGGTCTTACACCAGCAGCTGGACTGGGTTCCTGTCAGTTCTGGGATAAAACAGGGCACTCTACAGGTCTGGCACATGAAGAGATGTGGAGGCCTAGCAAAAGATTTTCTATTGGTCTGTCCACATCTGGGACCCTGCTTTGGTGGGAGAGGACAGCCAGGATGTGAGGGCATCATACAGCAATTCTCAAATTTTTGGAGGTAGTACCTGTCCCTGAACTGCTGCATCCTCATACCAGCCCCCTTCATCCCATTACAGAACAGCCGTTGTGCCTCTATTCCCTTGGAGAGCCTGCAGCTAGTTGAATTGGCCCTTTCCTTGGCTGCCAGTCTCCTCTTTGCCACCCATTGCTAGCTCCAGCATCACAAATGCATGCTAAACTTGGTAGAGGTTAGCATGACTAACCTGCCACCCCTACCTCACCAGTTCTTCTGGGAATGGATGGTCTAGAGCTTCCAAGCACCTCAACTTAGTCCTGAATGTGAACAGTTTTGTGCTAACGGCTGTTACTCCAACAAAGCCAGATAATTTTGCTTCATGCCATCAACTGTGTTCCGTAACACCCAATACCCAGGATTCTGAAGGAAAAGGGGAAGTTGCTGTAATGATTGCTTATTGGCATGTATTTTAATAGACACAGACATTAGATTTCCAGAGGTAAAACATGCATATGTTTTTCTTTTCTTTCTAGCATATGTATAACTATAATAGGTTTGAGATGCAATCCTAACCTCAATAAAACTTACAGGTTATTCCTACTATGTATCAACATCTGTTACTAATTCAAAGATGTATTTAGTTAGCTTCTTTCTTTTAAAGTTTTCACAAAGCCTTTGCCAGCCTGGACTTTACGGACTCGTAGGATAACTTTTCCTTAGATAAAGGACAATATGGATTCTGACTATGTAATGGTAGTAGCAGTCTCATGAAATCCAAAGGAACTGTGTCTCTATGCTAAGGTGTCCTCCAAAATACTGTCCTATATAGAACTGACTCGGCCTTGATTTTACCTCTTCCCAGAGAAAGGAAATGTTTTGCCTGGAGTTCACATAAAACGTGTTTTTGTAATAGTAAGTCACAAAAAAAAATTATAAAGAAACCCTTGTTCTTGGTAGCAGAAGAGCTATAATGGCATTACCTCCTTTTCTTCATTCAGACTGTGAAGACTCCAAATAATAGACAAATATTTGGAATGACATACACAAGTAAATTTTACTATAGGAAGTGGTTAAAAAAAGATAAAAACGTAAGTGTGCTAAAAGTCTGCCAGGTGCATAAACATCCGTATCTCCTGAAAAGCAGCAGAAGTTAAGCATGCTCAGAGTGCCACAGACCTTCTTTGCACTCATGGAAGAGGCTGTGTTGCAATGCTTCTATAACGGGCCTCCTGGTCACCTGAGCTCTGTGGTCAAACAACAGGTAAATACCTAGATGCTTCAGCCAAGGTTATCAACAGCTTAAGTGGACCAAGTTTTACCAATAATCTCAACAGCATTGTACCTTATCTGTAATTTTTGGGCACTAGGCAAATTTCAAAATTTCATGGAATGTTAGAAGCTTAAGTAGACAGAAACCTGGTAATTTTAGGGGTTCTTTGAAAAGACTGACTGCTCCTGTCACATGTAAAAGAAATACCAAGTTTTCAGATGTCCCAGCTAGGTCAGTGACAGGATGGTCTCTTTGGTGCCTTCTGCTGCCACGGCTTAAGCTGCACTCCACTTTTGTTTAATCCTTGGTGTTGTTCTGCTGTATAACCCTACTTGTTCTTCACAGTCAGTTGCTAAAAACTAAACTCTACTTTACAAACCTCAAACTTTGAGTCATAACAACCTATATTATCACACTAGCCACATAAAATGCAACACAGAACAAGAAGCTAAGATAGTAAGAAAGTTACATCTCAAAGGTAAATGAAGGTTTTTCTTTCTCCTGCATGCTGTTGATAGTGACAAAGGCCAAACTTGTCTTCTGCTGTGAATCTTTGTCTTCGTTTGCTGCTTAACGTGTGAGGAGATAAAATCAAGTATGTCACTCTGGCAGTGGCATGATGGATAGCTAAGTGCCTCTTCAAGCTGTTTCTTGCAGCCAGTTAACTATTTCTGAAGAATATGTTGTTATAACAAGTGTTTGTAAGGCCTTCTTACCAACAAAGTTCTACTTTTAAGCATAGAACTTAAACTTTCATACTTTGAGTTCAAAATTTCATCTGCAAAGTATGTACTTTTATTACTGAAGTATGCAAAAGCTTCCAGCTTCTATTCTTAGCTTAATAAGATAAATAGATCCAAAGGAACCTCCATGACAAAACAGCCAAAAAATACAAGAGGAAAAAACCCCAACATTTAACTGCCAATATTTTTATTATGGCAGTAACAGAATGAAATCTCCTTAACGCTTATTTTCAAGATCTAGTATGTTGACGTATCTCTCAACTAACACCAAAAGCATTATCTTCAGGAACATAAATTTCTTCCTAGCTCATTACAATAGCTGTTTAGTACTCCTAATCACCTCCTGGTCTATTGTGTAGCCACACAGCAGTATCTTTGTCTCCTCTCTGTATCATCCGCACATTACACTTGACCTTTCTATGACATGATCCTTTTCAATTACTGCATGAACATAGATTAAACTTTGGCTACCCTATAGCAGAAAAACCTAGATGCATGAGGCTCCAGGGAAGAGAGCCAGAAATGATCAAGCAGGCAAGTGAAGATTAACCTTCTCAAGAACAGAGCTAGCTTAAGACAGCAAGCTTCAGAAGAGACACAAGAAAGAAAAAAAACAGTCCCAGAAGATGATCAGCTATTGAGATGTTTGGTTTGACATGAATTTCCTTAGCAATTCCATCTTGATGGAGTAAGTCCTGAGGTAGTGTCTGCTCATCCTTTTAAAGGAAGGTTACACAATAATAAAGTTTAATAAACAAAACCGCACAGAACAAGATTTAAAGTGAAAAATAAGACTGCTACCAGTGCAAGCAATCATATTAAAGAGAAATAGAACTGTTACATCCAGTGCCAAGGGAGGGGCAGGAAAAGTTGCACAACAGCTTTTCACAAGGAGCTCTTTATGAACATCAGCTGCATCTTCTAGATTAGATGTTAGTGAGCAGATGAGGACAGATGCACTCAAGCCAAGTAAAACTCAGGCAGCATTAAGCCATCCTCACAGATAATAATTAAGACAGACCTCATCCTACCCCCTGAATGGCATTCTCACAGCATGTCCTGCTACAGATTAAGGAGCACTTAAATGGAAAACATGAAATACCTTCTCCTCGTGAAGCATCCTGGTTTTCTTTGGTTCAAAACTGGAAATCAGGTAAACATACAGCCCCATTCGTATGGGGGCTGTACACTTTTTTATACATCCTGAGGATCCCTGAGAAAAACCGTACAGGCTTCCAGGACATGGACCTGAAGTTTACTTCTCAATTTAGACAACATACAAAGTATGTATCTCACACCACTGTCTTATTTTTGCAGTACTCAAATTTCTCAGCACATCGTCTCACCTGTGTGAATTCAAAACTTTCCATGCTAAAATTTAAAATATAATTAAGGCCACAGTTCCTGTGAACAAAAAGTAAATACATAGTAAGTTCTAAGTTGTGTATTTGTTGGAACAAGACGCATTGTTTTGCACCTGTAAGCACATCAACAATATTACGCAAGACAAAGCACTTTAGAGTAATAGAGGCCTTAAGTTGTTTTGTAAATAACGTCAAAGCTAAAGAGAAGTATGGAAACATTTCCCCTAAAGGGGATTCAACAAGAACAGAACTAACAGACAACTCAAGTGAACAACACTAATTTTTATTTGTAAGTGTTAACAACACAGTCACCATAAAGCTTAAAAAAAAAAAGAGCTGAACAGAAGACTTGCATAGATTTTTTTATTTTTTTTGCCTGTTCGTTCACTGTTTGGCACAAAAACCATAAAATCATAGAATAGAGCTGAACAGAAGACTTGCATAGATTTTTTATTTTTTTTGCCTGTTCATTCACTGTTTGGCACAAAAACCATAGAATCATAGAATACCTTGGGTTGGAAAGGACCTTAAAGATAACAAGCTTTGCTGATAACCAAAACTACACATTTGGTTTACTGAGTAAGCAAAGCTAATACACAGCTGTGATTTTTTCACTCAAATACTGGAAGTCTTCTGGGAAAGACTTCTTTGTGCTTTGGTTAAGAACTTACAAATCAAAAGCATAAGTAAGATCCTTCTGAAGAATTACATTCTTGGAAATGCATACAGTATTGTGTGCCACATCCCTCTGATAGAGGGCACAATTTCTGAAAAGAACATTTTTTAAAACCAGAAGACAGTTCTGAAAGGATAAGAGTGACACCCACTAATGTTGGTGGATTTTTATTTTTTTTTTACTTTTTTACACTTCATTCTCCCTGCATACGTGCCACATCCCTCTGATAGAGGGCACAATTTATGAAAAGAACATTTTTTAAAACCAGAAGATAGTTCTGAAAGGATAAGAGTGTCACCCACTAATGTTGGTGGATTTTTTTTTTTTTTTCTTTTTTACACTTCATTCTCCCTGCATAGTTGAGGTCTAGTGAACAAAACTATATGTGGTGGTAAAGCTGATAATTTTGTTTAAAGTGCTTGATGAAAGCAGGGAAACAATGATAAATTAGTGAAACCAAAAGTGGAAGAGTTACATTTATCACAAAAAAACCCAAGAAAAATTGGAGCATTTTCACATTTTCTTCTTCCATTAGACAAGATACAAGAAAAAGTTCTTTCACGGTGAAGAGCTCCCTTGAAGCATATATGGTTCATAATACATTTTTTCTTACATTTCTGAGATACAAAGTCATTTGACATAAGACTTGGGAACAACATTCCAAAAAAGAAAGTAGTATTACGGTTAAGAAATGAAGATTACATAGCAGGTATTAGTAAGTAAAAAAAAAAAAAATCTTTGGGAAAATGCTATTTAATACTTTCAATAACTTTAAATGCCCCAATACTATGTATTTTACAGTAGAAATGCAAGAGCCTTTGGAACACAGCAATGCCTGGTTCTGTGCACATCTTCTCTTAAGACGTCATCTTTTTCTTACATTCCACTGAGCAAAAGACCATCCCTTCCACTGGCATGAACTTCTGACCAATTAGACACTTGCTGCAACAGGAACACAAGAAGCACTCCTGTGTAGCATGCCAGTTGAAATTGTTGTATGTCACACGCTGAACTTCTGGATCTATGGCATTATGACAGCCTTGGCAGATCTGTTTAGAAACAAAATTATACTTAACTGAAACATACACACCTTCCCTACAAGTACAATAAAAGCTAGAATTCTTAAAAGTTCCTGGAGAAGTGAGACAGGTGTTAAAAGAAGCCTTTGAAATAAGTCTCCAGTTTTTGATTTTCCTTTATTTTTAAAGCAGGGTTTCCAATCAAAATGTAGCTGAGGACACAAAATAAAATGCACACAAGTTAGCTGCTGCTGGGACTAAACTTAGACAGTTATGATGCTTAGGATTTCCCAATGCCCAAATAATGATAAAAAGTCGTCATGCCAAATAGCACAGATCTTCATATGTCAACCTGTACATTTGAGAAGATTAGTTACAAATCTTCCTGTGCATTGGCAGCTGTAAAGCAATGCCAAAGAACTAAAAGTTCCTAGAAAGTCTTGGGTGTAATTCACCTTAATCTCTTTGTCAAAAATTATCATTTAGATCTCAAGGAAGTTAATGTTTCAAAAGAAAATAAAGCCTCTCCAAAAGATAATTCCTCAGACCTACCTCAGAAATTTATTAACTGCCAGCTAGAGATAAAAGTTTTTCCCCTCCATTAATTATATAAACAGCTTAGATGCATGTTAGACTGAAAACCCAACTAATAGCTAGTTAATTGGTAGATATGAATGGACCATCATCTTAGATTAGAGTTCCTAGCATAAGTAGGAATCAAGAACTACCATCCTTTCCCAAACTTCTAGCTTTATCCCATCAGTCACTTGTCTTTATAGCTCATGTGGTTAGAAATACAAAGACACCAAGTACCTAGACTGCAGTTGCCACTACAGGCTTTTAGCACCAGCTGATCCCACTGGTCACAACGAACTATGATTGACATGAACTAAACGTTTAGCAGCATTACTCATCTTCACCTGCTATACTCTTCCTGTTACAAAATCCTGCTCTACCACCAGTAGTTAAAGGTATTTTGAGAACAGCCTCTCACCCTGCCAGTGGCCTTCCCTCCCTGCCCCACCCAAGTTTATGAATTGACAAAATACTTGTTTGCTAATTAAGGCTTTTTTCAAAGGGAAAAAAAAAGTGATTGACTTGAGCTTAAACTTGCATTCAATTTATACTCTTCAGATACTCCCAACACTGAGAGAAAGTAAGAGTTTCAAGCTCCATAGATGTATGTTCTCTCCCTTCACAGAAGCAACAGGTCTGTAAGGATCTTACCGCAGCATGGTTCTTCACGTAGCAAGGTTTGCAGACTGGCTTGTCATTCACCATTACATAGATTTCCCCAGCCAAAACGCAGTCACAGTCAAAACAGCAGAAGTGTTTCAGATGCCAGTTTTGACCTTCGGCTTGAGTATATTCATTGCTGAATATCAGCTATGAGGAAGATACAAACAGATATTAATATGTTAATACTGGCCTCCCAGTACCCGAAAGGGCCTACAAGAAAGCAGGGGAGGGACTTTTTACAAGGGCAGGTAGTGATAGGACAAAGGGTAATGGCTTTAAACTGGAAGAGGGTAGGTCTGGATTCGATATTAGGAAGAAATTCCTTTACTGTGAGGGTGGTCAGACACTGGCACAGGTTGCCCAAGGAAGTTGTGGATGCCCCCTCCCTGGATGTGTTCAAGGCCAGGTTGGATGAATCTTTAAGCAACCTGGTCTAGTGGAAGGTGTCCCTGCTCATGGCAGGGGGGTTGGAACTAGATGATCTTTTAAGGTCTCTTCTAACCCATATCGTTTCATGATTCTATGAATATATGCATTTGAATAGCATTTTTTAAAACAAAGCTAGCCTCAGGATGTTTTGTAATTTCCAAGGAGCTCCTGGTGATTCCACTGTTTCAAATGATTTCAACAATAGAAACAAATGTGTTCACTTGTTTGAATGTTTTCCAAAAGCCTCAATTTGGTTTATTAAGAGCCAACAGATGCCCAAGACACCAGGCAGGCTGTTCCCTATATGCTGCACAAAGTGTAATTTAGTAGGGCACTCCCCCTAGTGCCGTTCATGAGAAAACAACTGCGTAACTGGGACTTTACATAGATTTGCACTCCTGTATTACATCCTGTGTCCCTCTAGACTGCACAAAATCTCCACCAAATCCAAAGCAAACTATGGATCTTTCTGAATGTGGAGTGTCCATATCAGTTTCAGTTCCTTGCAACTGAAATCACCTAAAACTGGTGAAGGCACATGATGTCCCTGCACTGAAATATTTTACTACAAATCATACTCACTTCTCAGGGGAGCAAACCTGTGTGCTAAAACAAAGGACTAGGATAGTTACTTACCTCATCACATCCAGCACAGCGGGGTTTTTCGCTATCACAATAATGTCTCCCACAGTACAGGTTACCATTCTTCCAGAAATAGATCATGTCTACTAGAAGTTCACTGCAGGTGCAACAGACAAAACAAGCTGGGTGCCACAATTTGTCATATCCAGCACGTTCTGCATAGACAGCTGGGTCACCTTCTTTCATGTTCAGTTTGCAGCGATAGCAGGACTGGAAAGATATTATTATCAAGTTAAACAAGTCTTTGAAGAGGTACATTTATAGCAATTATATATTTCCAATTATATATTTATATTTAATAAATCCCACTTTCCAAGGCTGAAATTAAAGCATCAGTTTACTCCCATGATCAGACAGTAGAGTGACACAGTACAGGTTTAACTAAGCAATTCAGGATGATGTATGTTCTACTGACATAGCACTAGTGCTACTTAAACAGATTATTGTGTTTTGCCATATTCACAGTCTTGCAACTACAGTTCAGTTCTTAAAAAACCAACAGGCAATTAAAATTCGTTATGTTCTATGAGCCTTACATACTCAAGACTAAGGAGAGAATAAGAATAAGGAGCCTCTATCAAAGCTAACCAACCTGACTATGACTAGAACACACGACAAGAAAACGGCTGTACTTATAGGCTGTGAGAAGATCAAGCTATAACTGCATCACTGATGAGGAAAAAAAAAATACTGTGAGTATTTGAAACTCATTCTGTTTAAAGCTGTGTTTTAAGGATGCTAGTCACTTATGGCTGTTGTCCAACAGCCTGTGATTATTGATCTTAGGATGATGAAAGTGATTATGGAAAAGAGACTACAAAGTTTATGAACACAGCTACACTACAAGTAGTTCCAAAAAGCTCAGTCAGTCTCCTGCCCCATACCTGCTTACAAAGAGGGTTTGTGATCAAGTAAAAACACACACAAACAAAAAACCCCCAGGCTGTTCATATTACTGAATAAAAAAAAATTAATCTACAGTTTAATCACTAGTTTGGCATTTCCTGCACTCCAGTTGGTCTGTGACAAGGATGAACATCCTGGGAAGGTTTTCTCTATGATTCACAGCCCCTACAAGCTCAGCCACAAACGGCCTCAGTTTTCAACTGTGTGTGTACATATATATATATTTTTTTTTTAAAGTGTCTTGACTGTAAGGCATATTGATCAGACCCCCACACTTGTTTCAGACAAGCAATTTCAAAATATACATAGAAAGACAAAATGGGATGAAGAACAGCTTAGAACAGAATTGAAAGGTGAACAGTAAATATTTACTTATATAGAGCTTTTTGACTCATCTTTCTACTTTAGACCTCATACTTCAAGAAGAGTCAGTTGGAAGGTTAGTAGCTGTATGGAGCCAGATGAGGGCAAGACAATTAATTTACCTACCATATGCAACATCCCCAGCCTAGGTGGTTAAAAGGTGCATAAAGAGATTTGCTTCCTTACAAGATGAAAATATGCTGAATATCCATTTTTCTGTTACCGAGCTTTTAATCATGATGAAATAGATTTAAAAAAACCCCAAAAAACCACTGAGGAACTATTATAGGTATATTGACATTACTAGTGCAGATCTAGGTTTGTTTTGTTTTGTTTTTAAATAGGGTTTAAAAGAATTGCAATCCATCCCTATAAGAAAAAAAAAAAAAAATTCAAGAGATTCTATTTACCACAGCTACAGGAATACACGCTTTCAGACTCAGTCTGAAAGGTAATGTACAAGAAAATTTGGAGAGCAAAGATGCAGAACTAATGGATAGAAAAGCATGTAGACAAGGATGGCTCTTCTCTATATTGTTTTATTTTGAACTGTTAAAAAAAAAAGTTGAGATAATGCTACAGCATATAGCTGAGACGAAGTCACACTGCAGAAATCAAACAAAAAAATACTTAAAAATAACATATGTAAATCCTGATTATTTAGCCCAGGGTAAACTCAGTACTTAACAACAGATAAGCAACTCATGCATTCACTTACACTATTAAAACACTTCTAAGTGTCTTTCTAAATTACTGTGCACAGTGATGATATATGCCTGACCTGAACAGCAGGAGGTATACTCAGGTGCTCAAGTAAGAAAGCTTTGGAAGTGATAAATAGGTATAATGTAAAAACGAAGCACCTATTGATACAATTACTCCTGTCCTTCAGTCCAAGCCAGTTGGCTAGCAGGGTACAATGCAAGGTGTGTATTTCTGTAGGTCTTTCTTGAGGAGGAAGGTGAAGAATTGCTGTGATGAAACTAGAGTAACCCAGCAGGAAAGGCTGAGTTAAGACAAAATGACAGCAACCTAATCAAACCACAGTAAAATAACTTTCTGTTATCTTACAATCTTCATAAAAACATAATGGCTAAAATAACTGAATAATTAATTATAGGAAGTAGTTACAGGTAACCAAATGGCACAATATATGACTGATCAAGGTAAGTGCACATTTTCAAAGCTTGAACTTGGGTGTTAGTTTTATATTCCATATGAATCACACCAGAAGTAACATACTGTATCAGTTAAAAAAACCCAACAAAGCAAAAATGAAAACACGAAAAAAGCATACCACACCTCCCAATAACACTGAAAGTCATATTCTACAGCCACCTTAAACTTTTATCTCTATCCAGAATATACATATTCATTTTCTGTAAGTAACCTGGAAACAAATAATTTTTGTGATTCATACATATAACAGCAACATTTCTGGAAATCAAGTTACAGGAGCTTTTGCCATTCTAAAGTAAAGGTCTGTCTTTACTAAACTACTGTTACTTCAGTACTCTTACCTCTATTTTGTATTTATAATTGGTAGCAGAGACATGTACAGTAGAAGCTAGCAAGTTATGCCAGAAATACTTTATTAAGGCTACAGTTTTAGAAATATCAATGAAAACTGGGTAATTTTTTTTAATTTTTTTTTTTTTTACACACCTTTATTTTTGTTGGGCTATTACAAGGCAGAAATCAGATGTCAAAGAAAAAAATTGACCAAAAGAAAAAAATCTGAATATGAGAAGAAAGCTAGTCAAAACAGCCATTATACGGCTGGGCTTTTTGGACATGGGAAGGGAAGGCGTTACTTTATTATTTCTTAGTTTCATTTAATTTTAAACATAATTTGTCAAGTGGAAAATTCTGGTGCTCTTCCAAGAAACAGGAGAAAACAGGCTTCTAAAATTAAACTAAACTCTTTAAGAGGAAAAAAGTGTAGCTATTAGTCTGTAAAACTACACAAGTTTCTTTATTATTCTGTAAAAGCTCTCCTGCTATACTGTATCTCCAAGCTAATGTGTTTTTGCAAGAAGGATGAAAAGGTCACCTAGGAAGTTATTTGCTGCAATGCACTAAATACGGTCAGAAACCAAGGCTCTGTGCAGACCTTCACAACGTTTTCCAGTTCCCCTTCTTTCTTTCCCTCACCCAGATTTTCACTATCCCAAGTTAATAAACAACTAGGTTAAAACAACCTAAGAGAGCACTTGGATGGTAATACAACTTCTTGTTTTACCTTTCCTTTCTTATACTTACATACTGAGATGCCTTCTGATCTGGGGACTTGTCCTCCATCGCTCCTACAGCAGCTGAGGTGCCTCTGTCACCATTGTTCACGTTATTCTTGTCAGTAGCTCTTGTTTCCACCTCACCTGGGAACTTGACATCTCCTACACCAAGTGCCTCATTTTTGTACTTCTTCACAAATTGTTCCATCTGCTTAACTTCATTGGGAGAGAGCTCGTGGCATTTGGAAGGATCCTGATCGTGAGCAGGCAGCTGCTTAGCCAACTGCTTCTTCCTGTACTGCGCGCCTTCCGAGCCAGCAACAGGCTGCTTCTCCTTTGGTAGCATCTGCATATACTGTCTAGCCTGAACCAGGAGGAATTAGATATCAGATGCCACTTCAACTACAGACCCATCCTTTCAAGCAAACATGCACCTAAAATAATCTCTACTGTTGTTAGCGACAGTCAAATTTGTCAAAAACAGGGTTCTTTCCATAAACATTAAGCTCCTAACGTACAGTAAGAAGGAGATAAAAAACAGTAGATGCATTAATTGCCTTCTTCCCAGAGTAAGACAGGTTTCCTTTTAAGCCTTTTACAACATGCAGAGTAGAATTATTCCTTCTCAGAGTAAACAATAATTAACATTTACACAGGACCTTTTCTCCTCAAATCTATCTAAAAATACTGATCATCAGTGTAGCTTTAAAAAGCAGAAGCTGAAATAGTCTGCCTGAGGCACACAGCTCATTGCAGAAATAATTCTAGATAAATAAAGAAAAAAAGCTCTAGTTTTAATAAAGCAAGGATAAGTCTAAAAATCAAAGTGCTAACTGAACATTAAGTAACACTTGATTTAGATACACAAGGTTTGATTAATTCACTGAAAAAGGATATTTTGAGAGGTAGGTCAGGGATAACGCAATTCCAGCATGGATCACACAACACTGCAGTACGGTAAATTAGCAATCAAAGTTTGAAAAGTGAAGCAAAATCCTCAGAAGGCTATCTACCAGCTCATCTACTTCAGCTGAAAACATACTGGAAGAGAGTTGCTCTTTTAGATGTCAACACTGACCTTGTTCTTACCATATACAGTAAAAGCTATATGCAAGACTGAGACTTCCCCTTAATTTTAAACAATGACAAGATTGTTGTGGGGTGGGGTTTTTAATTATTTATTATTTTTTTTCCTTTTACGACCACACTCCATGCAATTTTCTCAAGTTTATTAGAAAAAGACAGGTTAGAGAAATTGGACTCCAGGAAGTTGGCAGATAAAGCTTAATCCTATCTATTAAAAACCACCTTATCTTCCCAGTTCTCAGGAAGTTCCATAGGCAAGCATCCATATCTGCAAGATGACAGAGGCAAGACTCATTAAATAGGCATCATATTTTCAGTGTTGAGGAGGCAGAAAAGAAGACTACAAGAGGCAAATTTACCCTTCCAGTAAGCTCTACTTCCCTATCTCCTGTCAACTCCTGCCTTGAACATGAAGAGAAAGTGAGCTGGACTTACAAGTGTCTGATTCTGAACAGGAGGAGCCCACTCATAAGTCACAGTATTGATGGATATGTTCTTCTTGGCTTGCACGGGATTAGTCAGTATCATTACATTGCGTTTATACATGGGAATGCCATCATTCTTCAGCTTTGCAATAAGGGTTGTGTATTTTGTATCTTCAAAGAGTTTCCCCACTTTCCGGTCTTCCTCATTGCTTGTGAGGACATCATGCTCTTCCTGGCCACATTTGCAGTTGCGGCATATTTTTCTGAAGTTTATGGAAACAGCAACAAAGTTATACTCTCAGCTGAAAATTACATCTCAAACCAGCTGCACATGCAGTAACAACATCACTGGGAACCCTCAACTTTGTTTTCAGTGCACTGATTAGGGAACATACAAGTTATTCTGCAATATGTCAAACACTTCTTGAGGATATTCCTTATTTCTCCTCTTGTGTTATTTACATTCTTTGTTCATAGTGATTGTGATCAGATAGATATCAGTCAACTACAGTAATGCATTTTGAATATTATGCTAGATCATTCCTTATATCTCAGTACTGATCACACACATACATGTCCATTATCACCCACCTACCAGATCTATTATGCATAGTTACCCATGAGTTAACTTAAATGCATCAACATGATCCCCAAAGTAATAACTTATTTGGGCTTTTATTTTTTTAGCTGTCTTTATACACTTAAAATTACACACACTATACTATTTTCTTCATATGCATTTCACCGTATGCATGATATTTGGTTATCACAGGGTTGCTATCAAGTGAAACAAATATTTCCTAGAAAGGAAAAAAATGCACACAGCCATCTACACAGTGTAATTGCACTCAGTTCTCTTCAAAGTTCAGCATTTGAAAGAGAAGATGAAAGAAAAGTGCAAGGCTTATATGGACAAAGCCTTTCAAACAGTTCTGAACTAAGTCAGAGGTACTCTGGCACACGCTGTACAGTGAATCTTCACAGATAACACCCTTAAAAGGTAGAAGGCTTTACTTACTTAGATATAAATGGTATTCTTTCATATACAACATGTTTCAACTCCTTTGATTAAGGGATATTAGATAGAAATTCATTACCTCAGGCATAATTAAACAATTCACATGTAATAAACAGAATCTTGTATTAGGTAATTTGATGTACTATTTATTAATGGCTTCCCCAGAGCTTCAACTCAAAGCAGTCAGCTATAGGATATGGAAATTAGCGAAGCTGGATGTTAAGGTTCTTATTACAGCCTAAGAAAACAGATCAACCTTCTGAAAGTCTAGAGTTTGAAGAGGAATGAGTAATATTTTACCCCATTATTTATTCTTCACATAGCATAAAACTGCTACCTATAAAATGCTTCTCAACCCCACTAGCCAAAACCCATTGAACTCTAATATTGTTTTGCATCTTGCTTTGCAAAGTCTTGATGGCAACATACGTACCTTCTCTTAAGGCACCCAAGAGGTACGTGATAAGAACATGCTGTGACCACAGCAGGCCTATTAGATGATGGGAAAGGAAAGAAGAAGGAGGACCTCCATACAACTGGTCACGTGAATCGACGCACAGCCAGCCCCAAAGATATGTGCTACGTATGCACACCAGTTTATGATGTGGGGTACTATCATTCTAGTGTGTGACAGATGCTGCTCTGGTCAAGTGATTATACAGCAACCATACGTTATGGTAACCTAGATTATGAAGCCCACTCTGTACAAAAATAGTTAACTTCACAACAGAAATGAGCCGCTCCACTCTAAGAAGAAAATAGGAACATTAAGTAGAACAGACTCTGCTTTACAACATAAAACCTAAAGAGATCAAAAATTCAAGTGTAGGCTCTCTGACAGCTTGCATGACTTCCAACTCATTCCCACAACAGGAAAGATGCACAGAATTTCAAAATTGATACTTATCTGAATACCTAGTAAACTCTAAAAACTTTGCAATCTCCTAGCTCACCAAAACATTCAAGCATGAACTAGCACGGCACATTAACCCCAAGTGTACTGTACTACGCATCTCAAGCACTCCCAACACAAAATCTTTCAAGATCTTCAGCGTCAGTGTACATGAGTCCTTTACCCAGGTAATAAACTATTTTGTATACTAATAAAGCAATTCATATTCATTTTGTTCATATTTTAAGGTGTGCATATGATTATACATTATTGCCAACTCTCAACCCTGTTGTCTTTGACATCTAATGGTAGGTGACAGAATCAGACCTTACTTTTTGTAGGTTTAGTTCATATTACATCATGACCATCTGTATTGGGTTTGCATAACAAGGTTTTGGTAGCGGGGAGCATGGGGGTG